TACTTATTAGTAAGATTGTTTGATTAATATCTCTGTTGTGTGTGATTGAGAGGTGAATGAGGAATTGTATTTGTTTTGCTGATCAAATATATATGTGGTTGATATATACTATGTTGATATATACTGATCAAGTAAATATGTTGTTTGATATAACTACCAGTTTTGTCTTTAGCGGAAGGGCCTATAAAGAGGTTGTTTAATGAAGATGATAGCTCAAACTACTGGCCAGTATAATGTTGGGAACTAACAGAGGGATGTTATGCTGCTCTTTGAATTTCCCATCTCTGCCTAAATGTTCATATGTATCTAAGTTAATTGCTTAACTGATAGGTACATAAAGCTTGATCATCTCAGAGTAATCTGATGATGGAATAAATTTATATAAGAAATATGAATTTCCCATCTCTGCCTAAATGTTCATATGTGTCTAAGTTAATTGCTTAACTGATAAGTGCATAAAGCTTGATCACTTCAGAGTAATATGATGATGGAATATATTTATATAGGAAATACGATTGTTCCGTTTAGAAAAAGAAGCCTATGCAAAGGTCCTGTGGTAGGAGAAAGCATGAAGTGGTTTAAGGGACTAAAAGAAGAGAATGGGTAGAGGAAAGCAAGCAAAGAAGAAAATTATCTCTAGTAGTAGAGTAGAAATAAATTGTAACTGGTAATTGGATGCAAGGGTGGAGAGAAAACATTAATAATAGCCATAGCCAAGGCACTTGCTACTCAAATATAGTCTGTGGACTAGCAGGATCAGCATCATCTGGAAGCTTTGTAAAAATGCAGAATCTCAGGCCTCACCCCAAAGCTACTGAATCAGAAAAGAGTCAGAGCAGGGTTCAGAGTGAAATATATCTGTATCTTTCCTTGACACAGGAAGCCATCTATCAGCTTCCAGCTAATACTAAGAAGCTACTTTGTGGCCCAAGGGTGTGTTTATGAGAAATGTTGTGTATTCAGTTCAGGGGCACACCCACGATGACCATATCCCCAACAAGTTTGGGGAAAGAACTTCCAGCTACTCTCCAATAAATTAGAGGCAGAGAAAATAAGACACCGAGAAGACATAGGTGCACTGAGAATTTGTATAAAAATATAGAATCAGAGGATATGTGAAAATGTGTAAAATGTTGCAATCCCAGTCTAGGGGAAAGATTTTTCTTTGAAGAAATATTTATTTCCACATTTTTCCCTTCTATTAGCCAACTGACAATTGTCAACTCGCCTCATCTATTTTGTGTGGTCTTCTCCGGCACCTCAATACTCAGCAGTGTGGGAGAAATTCCTCATTAGGAACTCTCAGGAGATCATGTTCATTGTTCGAAGGCATGAATCCTAAAGTCTATAACCTAAAGTCAATAATAATCTCTGAAGTTAGGTGGGTACTATGCTAGAAATAAAAGCTAATGATAACCTGAAAACCAGAAAAGCTCTAACATCTAGAGAAAGGAATGTATCCATAATTAAAAATTTCTAAAGATAGGAACTACAGAACGTGAAACCATGCTGTAACTGGAATTATATGCCAATTTCAGTTAGTTTAATTGCATACATTATAAACTACAATACTTATAACTAGTTCTTTGTCTACCACTGTAAAGTTGCTAAACTGTCAAAATTAAGTTTATAAAATATCAGGATCCTATTAAGAAGTTTACATAGGGTTTGAGTTAAAAGTCATAAAGTACTCATTGTAGAAGTGATAAGATTTCAGATTGGTTAGAATTTCCCTGATATATGCTAGTAACACATTTTCATCATAATCATCAGCATAGGAAATAGAATAAAGCTGGAGTTTATGTGAAATTAGCGCCACAGAAATAATCATATTTCTGAACAATTGCATTGTTAGTATTCTTTCAAACATATAAGTAATCACAAATTTTCTTAGGAGAATTAATTTATTTGGAATTTAGAGAGATCAGCAATTGCACCTGAGATAATTTAATGTGCATATTCAGATTTGATGTACAAATGAATAATCCAGAGATCTCTTAAAATTCAGATTCTGATTCAGTACGTCTGGGGTGAAGACTGGAATACTGAATATTTACCAAGGTCTAGAGCAGAGGTCAGCAAACCATGATTCATGGACCGTATATAGTTCTATGCTTTAAAAATCGTTACTGCTAGAGTGGTAATTTTCCAATCTATTCATTAAAAGTTCAGGTGTAATGCTGTAATTTCTTAAGTTGCAAAAGATTGATGTACACATATCCTTTAAATATTATATAAAAGCAACTACCATATGGAGAGTTATGTGATAAGATCACTCATGTGAAGAATAATCTTTGTCTTTGAATAGTGCAATTTAAAATTGAATGGTATTTTCTTTAAAAATGTGTTCCCTATGACACCAAAGTCAAAAAAGCAAATGCAAAACCATTTGAACAACACTTCCTTTTTATATAATAGGAATTTATAAAAGTTATATTGAACAATAAGATTATCAAAACAAGATATTTTTAAAAAATCCATTGATGTGGTAATTTCAATGAGTAGGTAGTTTTGTGTCTGCCACAAATATTTGGTGAATATAATTAGATGAGGTTTCTTACATATTTATATACATATATGAACAGGATGTTATTTGTGGTACTTATATACATACTTGTACACATGATACGCATATGATACTTACACACATATACATATAAATTAATCCTTATTAAAATAATGTTAAAACTACAATCTGGTTTTCTGTTATGTTAAAATCCACATCATCTCCTGGATTTTGGCATGTTCTGTACACAACTCTGATTCATTTGGTATTTGGGGACATCTGAATATTGACATTTGAACTTCTGCAGGGGTCTCTGTGGCACCAAGAATTTTGACCTGCAGCTGATCCATGATAAGTAATTATTTTGGTTACAGTAGTGAGTATGAATTCATAATTAAGAGGATAAAAATTATCATCACTCTCCCTGCATCAAAATGATACATTTTTAAAGAATCTTACAGTTTTCTAAGTGATGAGCACACCCACCTATTTGGCCAGACCTTCCAGGGTCCTCCCAGTTTCCAAGTTGTGCCTAGTTCAAGACCAGAAAACTACCTTGGTCCCAAAGAGCCTAGGTCTGCTTTGTGCCCTGGCAGGATATCCCAATGGGCACATATGCCAGCTCCAAACACAATCCAGTCGACCCTCATATTTCTTTCTGTCATGCTTTATATTATGACATTTTGATATAACTAGGAAAATATCAAATTAACTAGAATAAATTAATTCTTCATCTGTGTTCCCATTCCCCTTTATTCTTAGCAATCATCACAATGCATTATTAATAACAATTCATGTGTCCTATATAGACTCTAAGCCCATGCTGGACAGGGATAATAATTCATTGATCTTCCAATTACCAGCATCTAGAGCAGTGACTGACACACAGAATACTATAAATAAATGCTTGTCCTGTTCAAATGAGTCAGATAGAAAGAGGTATTTTGATAATTCAACCACATTCCATAACTGAAATAATTCTGTGCTTTTAGAAGTAGAAATCTACACAAAAAATTCTCTACCGATTTATGAGT